GCTGAAGAGCTTCCTATCCCAGGAGCCTAGCTCTGGCTGTGGCTGGCTGATACTGCTTAGGAAGAAGCAGAAGTACAAAATGGTGCTTCCTCCAGTGAGTCTGCTGCCTCCTGCCTCTTGCCAGGGTAGTTGTCCCTTGTTAGCATGACCCCAACTTCACCAACAGCAAAGGGTAGTATAAGAAGGGTACAGCAATTAACAGCAGCACTCTTCAAGCATTTACAGCTCAAAAAAGTTGTTTGATTCCAAAGAGGCTTTGTAGATCAATTGCATTCGTAGATTTAAGCTTGAAAAAGATCTGCTCAACAGCAGAACCGCTCCTGCTGTGAAGGGAGAATTTAGATTGTAAAAGTTTGCAGAGGCGCATGGTGTGCACACAAACATTTGTGAAAATGAAGTTAATCTTTACCTCGTGATGGTTTATATTAAATGTAGAGTATATCTGAATAAGGACCTTTATCAGCGTGGATCCTTGAAAGTGAGAAAGCCACTGCTCCTCTCAGTTGTAAATAAGAGCATCACATACAAGTTTCTTTCCTTCATGCCTCATTCCCTTTTGCAGGAGCTTGTGGGTATTTTTAAAGCAGAGAACTTCCTGAAGAAATTGGATAGGTATGTCATGCTAATTACTAGTTTTAGGAAAACCTTGTCCAAAATATCTGAGAGTGACAAATACAGATGATTCAAGACTGCATGTATGTATAACTATCTTACCTGACTTTGAAACACTGTTTATTAAGTTACAATACCCTAATACCTACCTTTGCAAATTTAAACCCTTTTCGGGGGTGAGGTCCAGATGCTCAAAGGCATTTAGGCACTTAAATACCTTCCAAGAGTGAGACTTTTGCCTTTTAGAATGTCATTAGATAACACTATTAAATACCATCTTAAAATGTTGCTTTCATGTCTTCGTCACGCTTTACTTTTTTTTTTTTTCCTTGAAAATCAGATTTTTAGATAAAAAATTGAAAGATAGTAAAGTTGATTTATATGTTTAAAAACTTATAGATATATGTCAGGAAGTCTTAACTGCCTGGCCTGAATGCACCATGAGACTGAGGAAACAGAAGGAAAACGGGGACTGTTTTTTCTGTGTATATGTGTGCCTTGTATTCACCAGCAAAGCTGGGACAGAGGGAGAAGACAGGCTGATTATTTTGATTCACTCAGTATTTCTCTCAAGATGTCTCAGGCTCCATCAGCTTTACTGGTGTGCTTCAGGATTCCATGAACAAGGGCTGTTAAAATCACTTACAGTGTGTGCCTCATTAAACACCCATGAAGTGCCCAAACAGGTTGCTATGCCAGAATGTAAGGGCTACCTCTGGAGCTTGAAAATCAAAGACCCATCCCTCCTCCAGAGACATGCAGTCTTACAGAAAGTGGTATGAAGCCGTAATTCACTGATATAATGCTTATGAACTTTGTAAATATTACAGTGATGATCTGATGAAGGTTATGTGATGGGTCATGAGGAAGTAGTTTGCATGTGCCCATCTTGTTGCTAATGGGCTGTGTAAATCTCAGTACTGGAAGCTGTTTGGCCCTGAGAACTGAGAGAGTCTACCTGTTTCTGCTTATGGGGTTTAGAAATTATAATCTATTTTGTCAAAAGCCCTGAAGTGTTTTGCAGTTTATGATCCCCTCAGTCTAAGTCAGTAGGCTTATGGGTTTACTGTTGGGCCGAGCACGTGTGATGGTTATAGATGTGGTAAGCAGTGAGAGCAGCTTTATGACTCACAGAGAGCTTGTGGTGTTCTCATGGATGTTGTATTGATGATATTCGTTATAATTAATTGTAAACCGAACAACTAACTTAGATGTCACCAGCTGGACTGATTTCCATCTAAACCATTGGTAAAATTATAGTAGTGGCTTCCTGGTTCGAACACCAACAGAAGCAGCTTCTTCAGTTTTCCCCTGTATGTGACTCAGTTTCCCTGTGATGACTGTGGTACTTAGATCCAAGACATTGAACTCCAGCAGATTCCTTCTGTTCTGAAGGGAACAGAAATCCAATAACACAAAAACCTAAAGGCAATTTAACCTCATAAGGCAAGACCTAGAGCCTTCACCTCAGGTAAACTTAGCTCTTTGGTATCCAGGTTTTCAAGGTGTCTTGTCCTATTTCTTTCAGTCTCTGTGTTTGGTGAGAGGCCCTGTTATTCACCCAGGTTCACCCCTTAGTGTTCTTCAAAAGGTTCTTCCATCTTTTTAATACACTCCTGGTCCTCGTAGTACCCTCTTCTAAACAATTCATCGGGGAAGTCCCGGCTACACATTCAGTTTCCTCTGAGTCCAGATCCCACAGCAGAAGTCCCAT